GTTACTTGTATCTAAAAAGTAATGGAACCTATGGTTTATCAAGAAGCTCTGAGTCTTTGTCAAATGAAGATAAATGTTTTTCTTCTTGTCTGAAGTTAGCTATGCATCATCCAAGGAGGTTTGTGTTGCCAAGCAAGTACAAGTTGAGTCCTTATATGGTTCCTCATTCAAAGATACAAGTGTCGAGAAAGGAGGCTTACGTGTATGATGTTGTTCTAAGGATGGCTGATAGCAAACATTCAGAGTAAGTCTTTGAATCTTTATAACCTCCTTTAGTTTTTTCACCACTTGTGACTACACTTTAATCAAGTATATCTGAATTCGGTATTCATGTTGTTTTGATCTTTATGATTCTTTTTTTTCTTTTTGTTTCAGTGTCTTAGTAATCAATTATGGGCATGTGATTGTGAAAATAAGTGTACTTGCAAGTTCTCTTAAACTTGATGGAAAGGTTCATTACTTTGTAGTGAATGCTTTATGCAGATTGTTATTCCATATGAAACACCCCAAGAATTCATACAAACATTTTTTTCTTCTCTAAAGTTGGTGTAAGTATGATTTATTTCTTTTTCTTTCAATTATATGTAGTAACTATATGAAATAATATTGACCAATCTATTTGTGTAGGACTATTTTATTGAAAATCATGGTCCTAATGATAGCAAGGAGCAGGAGCTATATGATAATGCTTTGAAATGCTTTAGGGGTGTTGCTCGTGCAAGGCCATTAGCAAACAACCAATATGTGAGTAACCCATGTTTTTTTAAGTTTTAGCATATATGTTGTTTGCACTGCACTTGTACTAATAATCTCCTCTTTTTCATTGTGTGTTATTTTGTCAGCTTTATTTTCCAATTATGTTCCATGATCGCTGGTATGTGGTTGTTGTGTATTTTAATCGAAGAAAGTTCTTAATCATGGATTCTTGCACACTGCATTTTGGAGCAGACTCAGATTTCCATAAAGCTTTCCATGATGAATTTGTAAGTAGCGGCAGCACATGGACTCACATCATTTTTGTTTGAATGCAATATACATTTTTGTTCAAATAAAAAAATGTATGTATTTGTATTCTAATTTATTTTCTCTACCTTATTTTTTAGGTATCAAACTTTTCAACGCTGTGGGCAGAAGTTGTCCATATTGACATGGGTTTCCATAGATATGACGTCGTCTTTGCAGATGTACCTCAACAATCTGAGGAGTAGGTTAAATGCAGTCTTTTTGATTTTTATAGATAAAGTTTTTTTGTGGTCCTTATAGTATTCTATCTTGTCTTTCTCATATCTTGTTTCAGCTTTAGCAATGATAGTTATATCTTCGCGATGAAGAATCTTGAGCTCTGGGACCCGAGTGTGTCTATGATGGAGAAGTATTGTGAAGCTGATATTCCGCACGTTCGTATCAAGTATGTCAATGAGATGATATTCAATGATTTCAATAGTTCAGATGATGGTCTATCTAAAGTCAAGGAATATGATGCTGAGGTAATACTAGTTCCAATGCCACTTTTTGTATTTGTTCCATCATGTATTGTATTGATAATTTTTTCCCTCAGGTCTATGAGAAGTACTTCAAGGTACATGACCTGCGCGTTATTGCGTTGTTTTTAGATGTCGTGTTTAGGTCGCTAACATATAGGGTGTAGTTTAATGCTATAAGTGCATCATACTTTGTAAAGAAGCAGCTACGTTGATGAGAATAGTTGTTGCTAAAGTGGTTGTAAATATTAATCTACAGTCCGGAGGATAAACTACAGTGGATGATAATATTTGGTGCTAGTTGCATCTGGAACAAGATGCATGGTTTGTTTGCATGCTTGATTGTTTATTGTTTGTTTACCATTATTCTAAGATTTTATGTTTTGCTGGTTTTAAAGTAGATGGTTGTTTCCATGCATCCCAGTTTTGCTTCCTCTTTTTAGTTTTCTTTTTTTACCCTGTATGTGTTAGTGTTGTAACCTTTGTTTGTGAAGACAAGGCAAAGCATGAGGGTTGTTGAGCTCCTTCTTATTGTTTTAAAGAGGACAGTCTAATCCGGTGAGTGATCTTACGTGCATTACCCTTTTTATTAGTTCGAACATGATATACTTTGCTGAATGTCCTCTATATTCTAATGACACATGCTTCTGATTCTCTTCTTAAATAGGACTTAATTTCAGTATCCTAAAGGAGCACAAGAGCCATATCGGTGGGTAAGTTGACCTGGGCACCTTATTTTCCTCTATGTCAAAATGTTATGACCTGTACTTGCTTATTTGTACCAGATCTTCTGAACTAATTTCCTTGTTTCGCATGCCTGCATTTGTTTTGCATCTTTTACGCACATGTCGCTGGTGCTGAGGTTGGCCAGTTTGTAAACTTTGATGATATGTCGGAGACATCCCCCAGTCACGGCGGGCACACTTTTGTGGCCAATGTCACTGTTCATGAGCTGTTCCATCTGCATGAGTAAGTGAGTAGCTTTTATGTTCGTGTCCTGAGTAATAGAATGTGCCTTTTCAACTTTTTTTTGCTATTTGTGATTTTTGTCGACACACACCTCCTTTTTGTCCTTGTCCTTTCATTGTGTCTGTTTCTTAGTTGTGTTATGCACCTCAGTCTTTTGATTTGTGTTTACACTTATTGAAATCTGATAATTGTTTATTGTATCTATTTTATTTCTAACTTGTCAATACATAGAGATGCCTGGCACTGTATCTTTTCTAAATATTTAGATGAGCCCGGAAAGATAGAGGATGAATTTAGCATGGTCCCTATGTCATCATTAGCTATGCTTGTTGTTGCTCTATCATCATCAGCGACGATTGCTATTTCTCCATCCTATTTTTGCAAAGATAAGTTTTACTTTGATGCCAATACATATTTGTATTGCTTATAAATGTAATCAAATTGGCTCAGCTGTTTGTATCTACCTCATATGACATTCTTGACTCTGATATTGACTAGTCAGTTTATGGTCCAAAGATTTCATCTAGATCTTCAAGGCTCATATTCTATTTTATTTGTTTGATAATGAGAATGGTTACCATTTATAATATAACACAACTAATTTGACAAGCATATATAATATAGTTTTACCTTATTCCTGTCATTTCCAAGTACCATCTTTGTTAATGATCCTTGCATCTCTTCATGTTGCTACATAATTTATAATGAAGCATTGAAATTACAGTCCTGTTATGCTGAATTTACATTGCATATATGTCTGTGATTTGCATATGTCTGAATTGTAATTTTTGTATACTGGTATTTACAAATTTTACCTGAGTATTCCTGTCAGTCTGATTATTCTCCTAAGAGTTCATTATTTGTTTTAGCATAAGTTCAGTGTAACCTTTCTGCATTGAAATATATTTTAGTTCAAAAACAACCTTTTTATCTTGGCTTTTCTGGGAGTAAGCAATGATTTTGCTCATCTTTTTGTATCTGTAGAAACGGTAAGTGGAACAATTTATGCCTCCAAATACTTGATATGGAGCTGACTGCACTACCTTCATTGCTTCTGTACCATGTGAGTTCATTGATGTTGGATAATCATCAACACTACTTGTCATATACATACTATTCTGCTTCATAAAAAAAGAGCACCTGAGTACTTATTTTGCTTTTTATCAGATCTTCTTAATTTTTTCATTGCATCTATGAAATGTATTTTTTTACCTCAAGTAATTGATTAAATTGGACTGGTGCTTGTATCAAATGCATTAGGGAACCAAATGAATGCTGTAGCAAAATATAGAATTCAATAGTTGATATATTTTCATTATTTATGACTGCATTTTAAATTAGGAGTTATTTTACCTCATACATGTCCTTGATGTTGACATCATTGTTGCTGTATCCTTACACTTTCTCAGAATTCTGAATCTGATATTGTGGCTCTGACATTTGCTCATGTCTTGTACCTCTTTCTTTGTTCTTGTTCTGTTAAAACATCTAAAATTGTGTAAGATGTAATCTACTGCTCATACAATCATCTATAAATAGTTAGAATCAGGGGTGTTGTAATCAGGGTTGTTAAAACATCGACTAGGGCTGTTGTAAGTAGTTAGAATTAGCTATAAATAGAAAGCATAGTTTGCCACATTCAGAGTTCACAGCTGCTTCTTGCAGCTCATTGTAGTGTGTTTGGGCTGTTCTAACCCCCTTGGTCGAAACATCCAAAAATGCTTGTTTAATCAGTATAATTGCATTAGCAGCAAATACCAGTTGCACTATTTGAAATGTGTAATTTATTTTTCAGTATTCTATATTTTTGTTTCATGAGTTTCTTAATTTATGAATCTGTAATTCTGATTCCTGAATTTGGTTGCAGCAAATACTAGCGGTAAGTCGGTGTGCTTATCTTGCCTGTTGAGGTTAGTGGTTCCTCTTCAATCTGTTGGTTGCTTGCCCCTTTCCTCTGCTCTGCTTGCCTCCACGCAGAGGAGATCTTTATCTTTGAACTGCTAGTTGTTTTCTCCTTTTCCCTGCTCTGCGTGGGGATCTGATCTGATCTACACGTAGAGTAGTGCTCTGCATGCCCCACGCAGAGATCTGATCTCCACGCAGGGCAGAGGCTTTCCCCTGTTTGCTCTGCTTGTGTCCCAAGTATATCGATTGCTGTTTTTGGGCTTATGTGCTGGCACATCTTTAGTGGGCCTCTCTGTATTCTTAGTTATTTGGCTCTGGGTTGACTTACTCTTTATTTGGACATAAGACAACCACAAAAAACTTGGATAGAAGACAACAGCAAAAGACAAAAACAACAGAGTTGTGGGCCTGGTTTGCCTGATGAAATTTATGTGTTACATTATCCTAAAACACACGTTTTTTCCGTGTTTTAATTCGTGTGTTTTTTAGGCATCTAACAACCATGCGCTAGCTAGTCAAAAACACATGATTTTCCTGTGTTAAAATCTGTGTATTTTACATGTAGCCAACAACCGTATGTTAACTCGTGCTAAAACACACGTTTATAGAGTGACAGACTCTATGACAAAACACAAACACCTACTCCTACACTGGTGGCTGGGCTTCGTCAGCCGGCGGTTCCGCAGCCTCAGCTGTGGGCGCGGGCGCCGCTTTGGCAGCGACTTTCCTCGGCGGTGGCAAGAGGTTGCACCGGCACACTGGGCACGTCCGGTGCGAGTGCAGCCACATGTCGATGCACTCGACGTGGAACAGGTGCTTGCACGCCGGCAGCTGCCGCACCATCTCGCCGGCCTGGACGTCCTTGAGGCACACCGAGCACGGCTCGCTGCATGCTTCCGTCCCGGACTCGAGGTCGCCGCCGCCCTCGTAGGCGAACGTCGGCAGCGCATTGATCACGGCCTTGGGCAGCCCAAACCTGCGCTGCGTCCTCGGTGCGGCTCCTGCTGCTGCATCCGCTGCCTCTCTCTCGGCGGTGCTCACGCCGTCGCTGTTGCGGCTGGGCCCCCGTGCGAGGCAGCCGGCGACGCCGAAGGCGACCAGGGCCAGTCCGCCGAACGTGAACGCCATCCAGACGCTGACGGAGACGGCCAGGGCGCAGAACAGGAGCAGCGCCACCGCGCACGCCGCGATGCCATAGGACGCGCGGTTTCCACCACCAGCCCCACCGTCGGCGTCGGCCTCGCCGCCGCGGCTGTTGTTGCCGCGGGACCTCGCGGAGAGCAGGGTCGGCATGATCCGCAAACTCGGCTTGTTCAGGTAGGCACACGCGTGTCCTATGCGCACTCCTATGTAGTCTGTCCTCACAGTGTGTATGGGCTTGTCCCTTGCCGCAGATTGCCGAGTGCCGACTGCGCTGCACAAGTCGTTTGCCGTGCCGTGGAGCACGCGGGGGGAAGAAATTAATAGGTATCGCTAGGGGCTGGAGCTCGTGGATGCGGCGCGGCATTCTACTGTGGAGAGCGCCGGCTGCGCGGCAGAGAAATACGGTGGTTGTTTGACGGGAGACGGAGGAATGAGGCGTCAATTCTGGTAAGGTTTCAGACTTTCAGTTTCAGGCGCCCGCCGCCTGCAGATTTTTATCGTGGAAGATCTGACTGGGATGGTAAATGATTTGTTAAGGGCGCCACGGTAGACAGCGACGGGGAATGTTCGCCGATGAATACACGCATTGCCGACTTGCCGTGTGGTGGAAACTGAAGGCAACAGGCCCGCCTCTTCTTCTTGTAAAAAAGATATGCAACCGAGAAGGACCCCAGATTTTGACATTTTGTTAGGAACAAAACAAAAATGACACACTACTGTTTGCAGCACCATTTCCATGGATTTGGAATAATACCTTCACATAATGACATCAGAGTAGCAGTAGTATCCTGTGCAGCTGCAGTATGCAACCTAGAAAGCCAGCTCAAGAACAATCTAAGGATACATCCGACGAAGACGAAGCTGAGATAGACACAGATAGGACACTAGAGGAACCTATTGTTGCCATCACCGCGGCAATGGACCCACTCATTCTATTGATGAGATCAAGGCAGAAGAGCCAAAGGCACCGGATGATCCACCAAAGGTGGACATGGACACCATTGACTTGAAGATCGAAGATTGTATAGGCCCTCCTGTACACGCGCCACCACCAATGACACCAGCAATGAGACGCCGACGCAAATCTTATGACAAATCATCGGCTCGGCGAAGCGCCCGTCTTGCCAAGAACAAAGTTCTAAAAGACTTGGGGATTATTAGGAATGATGGGAAGCTCAATGAGAATGCAATCCAACAACATGCAGAATGCATAAAAGAATTGTTGTCACCGTATCTCCTCGAGTCGCTCGTGCATACTGAAGGTTGTGCTTTCTGGGAGGTTGTTGTAGCGGGGATCTCCTTGACCTTGCCTTTTCGCTAGACTGCATTATTGTTTTTTTGAGAGGTGCTCTCCGCGCTTGCCACGTGGTAGACTGCGTTGTTGTTGTCGAGCCTTTCTCCTATTGCTGTCAGTTTTTGTCGTTGTTGTGGTTGTTAACCTTAGTGGTTGCTTTGGGTTGCTTGCTTTTTTTTTTGTTTTAGTGGTTGTCTTCGTCATCTTGCCTTTAGCTTGTCGTTGGGTATTGTTGTTACTTCGTTGTATGGCCTAGTCTGGGTTTCTCATTTTTAATATAATCGGCAGCTCTCCTGCCTGGCTTGTTTAAAAAAAAGAGCAATCTAAGGATACGACGAAACGCAATGTTTTTCTTTAACTAAACTAAATGGAGGTAAATGTCCAGGTACATAGGCACCTAGATTATTTTCATATGAATTTTTGGAAAATGACTTTGCATCTCAATTTTCAAACAATATACATCTATAGAAGCGCTATGGATGTGCATCATTTCAAAAAAAATTTGAAAGCTTATAAGTATGTGTTTCAATAGGGATCGAATGAGAAGTTTGCACCGATTATTTAGACAGTAAATATTTGGTTGCAAACTCCTCATTCGGTGCAACCGTACCCCATTAACAAACATACTTATAAGTTTTCATTTTTTAATAATGCATACTAATAATGTATCGATAGATGTACATTGTATAGAAGTTGAGACACAAATTCAATCTAGAAAAAAATCATGTGAAAACAACAAAATTCATGTGCATGTGCACTAGAGGACAGAGATCCTATGATTTTGTATTCTAGTACATATGCACCTAAAATTTGTTATTTCCTATGAACTTTTAGAAAATAATTTAGCATCTCAACTTTTGATACAATGTAAATCTTTAGATGGACTATGGATATGCATCACTTCAAAAAATTTGAAAATTATTAGTACATGTTTCAATAGTGTTTTCAATAGGATTTTATCTTACCGATTTGGTGCAAAATCCTCATTCGGTGGAATCTTTGAAACCCTATTTGAAGCACATACTTATAAGTTTTCAAAATTCTTGAAATGATGCATATTTAATCCTTGACCAGCTCGAGCTTTAGGAGGCATATATATTTGTGGCTCTTGTGTTCTTATCCTCATTTTGAAGTCTAATTCTGCTTTTGTCCTCATTTATTTAACTTTGTGATTTTGCCTCTACCTTTTTCTTAAAACAAACACAGATTTCACCCCTATTCCGTTTAGAAGAGTTGACAATGTAAGTTCGATAAAAGAGATTAGTTTTCCCATATGAATTTGCCCCTAGGTTTTGAGTACTCTATGACTTTAACCTCTATTTTGACATTATATATCTAAATAACATTCTAAATAATTTTGTAACAAAATTTGCAAATATTTCAAATTTAAGCAAAATTTAACAACCATCAGCAAAAGCCAAGAGGGTTAGGATAAGATTTAGGGTTACTACCATCTTTAATTTAATTTATTTTTATTTTTTCTTTTATTTAATTTATTTATTCAGCATTAAACTAACAGAGTCTAAACACAAGGCTGAATGGTGGCTTCGAATTCAAAGACTAAGGATAATCACAAACTCAAAAAACCAAGGTTAAAATTGCAATGACCTTGAGCTATTTATTTCCAGCAGGACATAATGCCAGTCTTGGTAGATAGTTTCATGTCGTTGTTTCCAAAACTGTTGTGTCATATAAAATGAAATAAAATTTGGATGAAACACCCTCTCTTAATGCAAAGTTTTATTCTATAGTTTTGTATGGATTTAATTTCATGACTCATAGAGAGTTGGTAATCATGCTAAGACAATTTCATCGAGATGAAACTCATTTTTTTCTCTCTGTTCTTAAATACACTACCATGTCATCAAAATGCCTATGTGACAACCTATTTAATGCAAATGAAATTCACATTATACTCCTACTGAGACTGGCCTAAGGCCTGCTAATTCACAATTGCTGACCTTTGTAACCGGGCAACCTTTCTAGACAAAAGACAATTTAGCCCATCCCTTTTTGAATTGCGGCACAATCTCCGCCCCCTCCCCCTATTTTCCCTTATCCTTGGGTCATTCATAAACTAGCATTTGTTAGGAGAGTTTCTTTATGGATTCTTTTATAAACAGATTCGTTTAAACTTCGTCAGTCTAAGCTTTCTAAACTTCTAGTAATGTTTGTTTTCATTCTATATACCCTTAATGAAATACGTGCACCAAAAAAATAACAAAAAGAGTTTCAGAAATTATTTCACAAAAAATAATTCAGGGAAAAAATCGAAAAGTTTAAATTCATACTGTAGCAAAACATTTTATCCAAAGAAAAATCAATAAAACTTTCAAGGAAAAGGAAATGGTCATAATTTCCTAGGAGAAATTTTTGCAGACATGTCTAAAACTTAATTAGAAAAAAGGATCATGGAAAAAACACGGAAGAAACAGAAGCGATACAAATATAACGTGTGCTATCTTTGTGATCCTTGACGATCCTGTTTACACAAAATTATCAGGCCTACCGTTTTCAAGAGCAACTACCACTATGTACATGCAGTTGCAAGTCACTACTAGTTACACAGGCGGCAAGTCATGATCGTCATCCGAAGACTCCGGTGCCTCCTCTTCTGCTGAAGCTTGCAGCCACCGGCGAGATCACGCACCGGCACATCGGGCACGTCCGGTGCGAGTGCAGCCACATGTCAATGTACCCCACGTGGAAAAGATGCATGCAGGCCGGCAGCTGCTGCACCATCTCGCCGCCGCGCACGTCCTCCAGGCACACAGAGCACACCACGCAGCTCGCGGCGGTCTCCGCCGGCTCACGCTCACCCCCGCCACCCACCTCGAGCGCCGGGCACTCGAACGCGAACGCCGGCGGCACATTCACTTGAGGGCACGGGAAGCCCGGGCGGGCGGCGCCGCCGGCCGTGACGATGACAACCAGCTCCGCGCTCGCGCCTGGCCGCTGGCTCCGGTGGAACCACCTCTTGGGCGCGAAGCAGCCGGCGACGATGAGCAGCAGCGCGGTCAGGGCGGCGGATGCGCACGCCTTCCAGACGCTGAAGGACGACGAGACGAGCACGCAGAACACGAAGATGGTCACACAGACGACGGCGATGCCGTAGCCGACGCAGGCGCCGCCGTGGCGGTCGACGTCGTCGTTGTCATCAGCGTCGTCGACGACGGAGCTCGCCTGGAGCTGGAGCGTCGGGTACATGTTGAGCATGGACATGGTGATCGCCGTGAACGTAGACTAGAGTGTACGAAGCTGATTCCTGGTATGGAATGTTACCATGAACGAACATTTTCGTGAAATTTATAGTCTTCGCCTAGAGTCAATAATGCTGCAGTTTGGTCAACTTTGTAATAATTAACAAACAGTGGAGAAGCGATCATGGTCTTGTTAGACATGTGTTGCTTTATCTGAATGATGAATAATCAATGGGATAAGAACTATTATTTAAGAGTTTGTTTAATCACTACCGCACGGCAGAACTGATGAGAGACCTACGGCGGCGTCGCCGTGGCGTGTTCACTCTGCCGTCGAGATGCCGGCTATAGGGAATTGCATTTGCATGAGCATGACCCTGTTGTTTTCCTAAATAGGCAACTGACGAATAGTTTTGACAAATGGATATGTATCATGAAACCAGAAAAAGGAGTGATTAGGGCATCACTAAATAAATTGTTGAACTATTAATTTACATAATTAGAATGCATTTGGTAGGGATCCGGATTCTCGTAGAAACGTTCCAGACTGAGATTCTTTTATGAAACGTTTGGAATGACAATCAGAATCACTATACTACTTGACTGTAGGCTGGATTCTGATTTACAAAATGTTTTTTCATAAAGAAAATCATTTC